TTTTCTTGAGGGCTCTTGAAGAGCCTCGGGCGTCGATTGGAGCTCTGTTTTGATACCAGGTTCACCGCGACCTTCGTCGTCCGAAACGCTGGGTGTCGATAGCCCGGCTACCATTAATAATCATCTTCTAATTCCCGCCATCCATCTATCTGCTTCATCTGCCTCGGCGCCACCGAGCTCCATATATAATATCTCTTCATCTGAGTTAGTTCATCTAGTCCATCTGCCTTGCCTATAGCTAACCTATCTCAGCATAATACGTGCAATGGAGGCATTGTACCCATGCTCCTTGACTCCTTGCAAACGCCTACATGACTCATCTACATTTGATTCCCATATCTCCTCCCTTATCCCTTCGTCAGACTTGGGGACAGTCATGATGGACGTCCAGCGTGCAGCATCAATTAACTTGCCCCACAAGCGGGCCTGTCGACCAAACAAAGGCAATGAACTGGCCCAGAGCGATTTTCGACCGCCTGTTCTCGCCGACCAGCGTGTTTTGCTCTGGAGATCCTCACACTCCGTGTTAGCTCACTCCCAGATGCTCGCCCAGGGTGTCAACCCTCATCTCGAGACAAAGATTTATGAGTCGTTGCTGGACTCTACAGTGGAAGAAACTCACCAATCATATGGCATGGTGTAAGCCTTCTTTATGGCTCACAGTCGGGGGACTTGTTGTACACGTACCCTGGCGGGAAATAAGGGTTATAATGTGGTCGCCTGCTGGCGACAAGCCGAATCCGAGGGTTTACGACCTAGATGAGCAGTATCTGGAGGAGAGGCTCTGCGCTCAGGCGGATTTGCAGCAGCACTCTACAAAGATTCTAGTAGAGCGCAAATATGTGCAATAGCACGAGAATGGCACTAAACCGATAGGTTAGTGCAAGTCTTGGATAGTATAGAAGTATATAGATGTTGCCCAATGCCCGCAGGCCTCTTCTCAGAGAGTCTCAATGAGGAAAGGCTAGTTTGGGCACTGAGGCGATGTGGTTTGATGTGAAGATAAGGTGATTTCACATGATACTACAGAGCACATGACTTGTAGCTGAAGAGTAACTAAAATAGGAAAACCATCCATTACACGCGGGCCTTCTCTGATTCCACCAATTTTGTGATATGCAGGGCATATCCGAGGTCTTGCGAATGCCGGCAGACAAATTCCTCCTGTCGGCCTTTGTTGCAAATGCAATAGGGTCGTGTTCCGGCAAAGGGATCCGGAACTGGCTCAACGGACTTTGTCTGTGGCACTTGTACAACGACGTGGCATTGCACGGCAATGATGGCTGGCTCCCATCATTGAAGAAAGCAGCAGACAAGAAGGGTGCACCATTCAAACGGCTTCCCCGGGGTCCTATCACGGTGGAGCACTTGCAAGCTCTTTGCGCTCAACTGGATTTGTCACAACCTCGGGATGCGGCGATTTGGGCGGCAGCGTTGGTGGTGTTTTGAGGCTGCCGCCGGCTCGGTGAACTTCTTGTTCGCTCACTCAGCAAGTTCTCCATTGAGTGCGATACTGTCCGCTCCACTCGCATCTCCCATCCTGTTGTCAACGGCCGGCGCACAATCAACTTCCCTATCAGATGGACGAAGACAACCAGTCCACTAGGGGGCAAGTGCATATTTGCGGTCACAGACAGGAAATATGCAGATTTGTGCCCAGTCATTGCATTTGACAATCACATCACCGTCAATCATTCTGTGCACAAGGACTGCCATCTTTTTGCGTATTGCAAGGACGCAGACTCCCGGGCTATGTTGACCAAGGATGACTTCTTAAGGACTACGGCCCAGTTTTTCTTGGACACGTCCCTCGAAAATGTTTTTGGGCATAGCTACCGCATCGGGGGTTCGCTGAGGCTCTTACTTGATGGGGTTGAGCCCGAGATCATCATGAAAGTTGGGGGCTGGACCTCCCTCTGCTTCCTCATCTACTGGCATAGATTGGAGCAAGTTATTCCACTTGCCATCACCCGAGCATGGGATTCGAGCATCAACACTTTTGCGTCGAGGCAGGGCATCCGCGATGATGTATCCTTATTAGATTTTAATAACATCAATAGAACTATCTGATTCTGAGTCGCAGTGCTCCGTTGGGGGCTCGGACTCTGTTCTACCCTCCTGCGAGCTTCGCTCTTTGGGCCATGCTTCTTGTGGTATGTTGGGTATTCTCTTGTCCCCTTCCCCTTACCTTGTGTACTGGAATTGGTGCTGGCATTCGGGCTGAACCACTCGACAGTTCTCCCAAGCACAGGCCCACATTGCAGGCTGCCAATTCCCAGACAAACCATGGATTCAATGAATCCAGTTGATCATCCAAAGAATTAATATCATTGCTAACTGTGGTTAACATTGATCTAGCGCGGATCAGGTTTTCCGCATATCTACCTTATACTATGTCACAGGCAGTAAGAATCATACTGCATGGGCTTTTGCCCCCTGTGATAATTATGTCCAATCGAAGTCATTGTCCATGGACTTCAACATATAGCTCCTCGGACTGGTTCTATCCAGCTGTCTGTGTCCAACTTGGTGCTTAATCTTTGTCTAGGCTTTTGGTTTAATCTCCCTGGTAATACCTAGCTCTTTGTGGTGTATGTAATCCACCCCTAGACATAGGTTGTGGACCATATCCAATGAACTTCCTGGTACCCCTCAGACTATTATGCCGACCCCCATGGAATGGGACCAAGCCATAGTATGCCCAGAATATCATTACAGTTCTCTCAGCATCATTGATATGTGACTAGCAGCTTTGGAGCTCAGCTCTGATCCTAATTGTATAGCACCGGGCGAGGTAGCCCTAGGACTCACAAAATAGCAGGATTCCACGGTCAGTGCCAGACATGCCATATCAACGAGTCAGCTCAATGTTCATCTGTATCTAGCAGGGAGGTTGTATCGAAAAGGGGCAGCTTTCCATTTCTGTCACCTGATCCCATCTCTGCCCCTCATTAGGACTGATGATTATCCCTTTGTAGGTTGGATGCTGAGTTCAGACAAAATCATGGCAATTGTTGAGTCTGGGGCAAAAGTTTTATGACTGCAATGCCAAAAGAAGTGTTTTGGCATATTCAAAAACCATGGAAACAATTTAAGTGCCTTCAAGTTCAGACATTTTGCAGGATCTGACCTATAAACTGGTAATCATTGGTCCTCTCTCATTCATACAAGCCCAGACATCCTCACTTACGGGCACCAGAGAAGGTAATGGGGGACAGACAATGAAACACAGGGTACACCAAGGGTACACTGGCAGTCAGTGGGGGGCAAGGTAGTGTGAGACTTATTTCAAGTGGGGATTCATTGTACATGTCCCTGGCGGGAGATAAGGCTCGCAAGGTGGTTGCCTGCTGGCAACAACCCTGCTCGAAGGTGTGAGCGGCTTGATAATAGGGAATAAAATAAGGGCTTCATAGCTATAAGCCTGTATTTGATAGTGTAGTGTTAATTGGAGTCGCCTAGTGTGCAGTGCTATGTCTCGGAGCATATCAACGAGTATGGCTTGGCATGTGGGCAAAGGCTTGAGAGTGTAATGTTTATATGTGTTGCCTAGTGCCTAGTACCTCTTCCTGGAGAGACTCAATGGGTGAGGGTCTGATTGGGTGCCACACTTTGAGCAAGCGGCTCTGCCAAAATCAAAGTGTCCACATTGCCAAGTGTATGTGGGCCTGGAGCAGGGCAGCAAGGTGCTCAGTGGTGGCTACTTTTTCCTTACAGAGCTGTCACACTTATTTACCATAATCTCATGACACTGTTCCCTCTGGAACAGTGTGTGTAAGTGGGATCAGGCAAAGCTCAGGGACTTGAGCCAGCCTATGCAGGAGGGAGCAAGTGCAAGAGCAAGAGCATGAGCATAGCTCCGCAGTAACAATGAGGGCTGGGAGCAAGGGCAATGAGGGATGAAGCAAAGCATAAATTGGAGCGGAATCAAATCATGTTGAAGGGGGTAGAGAAATACAGAATATATATGATGTACAATAGGAGGAGAATGGAAAGTATTGATCTGAGATTGAAAGGCCATGCATGGGAAATGGAGTAGGGATAAATGTACTTGCAGAGGCTGTGAGCTGCAGCAACAGTGTCAGAGTGTATATAGGAGTGGTGTCGAGCAGGGTGAGGGAGCAGCGGCACATTGTAGTGGTGGGAAGCAGGTGCATAGGGTTGTGTTTAGTTTGGTTCAGCAATCTCGGAGCTGTCCGGATACAGGTGCAGCATGATGCAAAGTGTGTCACTCCTTACAGATAGATGTTTAAGTGAATATGCACTGTGGGTAGCTGAGTGAGTAAGCTGCACTGGGGCTGGGTCAGGTCGTCATACAGTCATGAGATGTTGTTGGAGGGTCTGGGATTGTTGAAGCTGGAGAGACAGTGGTGGTGCAGGGAGATGGCTCATGCCTAGATCTGAACACTTACCCCCATGGCAGGAGTGCAAGTGTTATGATTGCTGCAGCTTTTCTTGGCAGGATGTGTGATGCAAGAGGGAAGAAAGTGCTTTGGGCTGCTTTCCTCACATGGGTGTCCACTGGCAACTGCCTTGTTCTCCACAATGCTGATGTGGTCTTGGACCCATGGATGCAGAGATGAAGGGTAGAAGAGGCAGGGGTGGTGTGGAAGGTCTCAAGGAGATATTGACCAGGTTCAACCTTGGCCATGGCCACGATCTATAAGGATGTCCAAGCTAGTCAGTTGCAGAGTACTCTTGATGATGTCAAGCACCCATATGGCTCTGGTGACCTCTGCCTTGGCAAAGACTGTGTCCATTGGTCCCCTTGAACTCTGCCTGTTTGCTCTCATCACAACTGCAGCTGACCCACTCTCCTGCAAAGCCTGAGTAGTCTATGAAAACACTGAACCCCCTGTGAGCCATGATCATCTCCATTTCTGGGTCTTTAATCCAACTTTAATCAGTGTGATGTGAGGCTCGGCAGGAGATCACGGATCACTGGACTTGACCAAGAGGCCACTGAGAGTCTTATGGTCAAGCTTCCATTTTCTTTCAGTGCCCCCGTTGTCTAATGGTTATGACGTCAGACTTCTACCTTTGTAAGCGAAATTACGTGAGCCAGCGATCTGGAGGTTGCGGGTTCGAGTCCCGCCGGGGGTTTCCTTTTTAAGCAGGAGGTCACGAGCTCAATTCTTTCCTTTTAAAGACAAACGTCACGGGTTCCAGTCACGTCGTGCTTCCCTTTTAGGAAAGGAGTCACGGGTTCGCCCCGAAGTGTTTAACCAAAATAGGGGCTATGGCAGCGGAATCAAGGGCCGGGGCTCCGGGGCGGCTAATGATCGGTCGACCACTCCAACTTTGACGTGGACCTTGACGAGGCAGAGGTCACAGTTCCCAACGATTTCAGGACTCTAGCATACGCTGGCCTTTTACGCCTCTGGCTCGACGGCTCTGATTCTTGACTTAGAACGCTCAAAACTGAAGACGCTTTCAAGCAACTTTCAAGTTCAAATTCCATTACTTTCTCGGTTTCTCGCATAGCACACCCTGAAAGAGCAGCGGTTGCCCAGACTCACCGGCTTCCAGTTCAGAATAGCGCCGGGCATCCTGTTTCAGCCCAGCACAATCGCCGTACGCTATCTCGACGAGAAAAGTTCCTCCCAAAATCAGCATCATGAACAACCATACTAACGCTCATTATACAGATTTAAACTCCAAAAATGAGTTCCCCAACCAGAGATGAAGAAGGAGTGCTTTCCAGCTCACCCATCTCGATTACTGGCGGCTCTCCAGCCCGTCGCAGAGCAAGCCTCAGCCGCAGCGAAAGCGACATCTCTCGTCCTAGGCACTCCCCGACCCTCGCCCGCTCAATTGATCCCAACGACCCCCAATTCAGAGAGCGCCAGCGCACCATGGACGTAGACATGGCCATGCAGCTTTCTCGGGCCCGCAGAGAGACCGCCTCCCAAGTTCCCGAGCCGTCCGAGAGCCTCTTCCCCTCTCTTTCCACCCACGAACAGCACCAAATTGACCTTGCGCGCGGCGAACCAGAGGAACAGCCAGAAAACGTGGTCCCAATTCCGTCATTCGTGGAAATTAACCACATTTCCGCACACGACCCGACAATGCTGGTGCACGAGTCGCAGCTGCGCGCTGCACCCTCGTCGACCTTTGGCGGCCTCCCCACGTACCAGCCCAATGCCTCCCAGTCGGAATTCGACTTTACGCCGATGGACGAGTTCGCGACGGCCGAAAAAGCCCTGCTCGAGCTCGCCTCTCCAAAATTTTCGCTGAGCGCCCTGCGCGCCCGCACGGTCGCGCCCGACACGGACGACGTCGCAGAAGGGCCCTCGGACCCCGAGCGCCGCCAATCTCCGCGCCGGAAGCTCAGCCATAGCAGCCCCCGCCCGCGGCACCACCGCAAGGGCGGCGGCGGCAAGATGGCGCTGTTTGAGGGGATCACCGGCGACCCACCGCCGGCATTCGGGATTGACGCTGCGCAATCCACGAGCGGCATCCCCGGGATCCTGCACACCGGGCACGACCGGCCCTACCGCTTCTCGTTCTACTCGAACGCGCTCTCAGCCACGATACACGCGCGCAGCATGAGCGAGCTCCCTGCGGAGGGCCAGTCGTTCACCGACCTCTTTACCGGGATTCCGCCGCCGCGCGAGCCGAGCGCCGCCCGGGACCGGCCAACGCGCCCCGGGCCATCGCCCGTGGTCGGGGACAAGACGCCGAGACACTCTAACTACGCGAACCAACCGCGGCACAGCGCGGCGGACGCGGAGTCGAGCACCTGGTGGCTGGACGTGCAGAGCCCGACGGACGACGAGATGAAGATGCTGAGCAAGGCACGCTTGCCCCCCTCCTCGTCGCGCCCGTGCCCCTGTTAACGTGCCCGCAGGTGTTCTCGATCCACCCGCTCACGACCGAGGATATCCAGATGGAGGAGACGCGTGAGAAGATCGAGCTGTTCCGCAACTACTACCTCGTGTGCTTCCGCTCGTTCGACCAGGACCCGTACAGCCCGACGCACCTCGAGCCGCTCAACATGTACATCATCGTCTTCCGCGAGGGCACGCTTTCGTTCCACTTCCGGCCGACGCCGCACCCGCAGAACGTCCGCCGGCGCATCAAGCAGCTCAAGGATTACATCAGCGTCACGTCCGACTGGATCTCATACGCGCTCATCGACGACATCACCGACGCGTTCGGGCCGCTCATCCAGGGGATCGAGTACGAGGTCGACAGCATCGACGAGCTCGTGTTGATTCTCAAGGAGGCGGAGCAGAGCGACATGCTCCGGCGCATCGGCACTTGCCGCAAGAAGGTCATGGGCCTGCTGCGGCTCATGGGGAACAAGGCGGACGTCGTCAAGGGCCTCGCGAAGCGGTGCAACGAGCATTGGCGCGTCGCGCCTACGTCGGATATCGTCAGTCGTTTCGCTGCATTTGCGCTCGGTTCTAATGCCTGCATTTGCAGGGATTGTACCTCTCGGATATTCAGGACCATCTTATCACGATGACGCAGAACCTGAATCACTACGAGAAAATCCTGTCGCGCTCGCACTCGAACTATCTTGCGCAGATTTCCATCGAGATGACCGACGCGAACAACCAGATTAACGACGTGCTCTCTAAGCTCACCGCCCTCGGTACGGTGCTCATCCCAATGAATTTAGTGACAGGTGAGCGCCCCTGTTTGTTCCCGCGCATGCGCTGACTTGGGGCGGAGGTTTGTGGGGTATGAACGTGCACGTACCAGGGCAAGATGTTCCTGTGCGCATCTGTTTACCCGTCATTATATTTCCAGCTCACAAAACTGTACAGGGGTACGCATGGTTTGTCTCCATCATCGCGGCGCTCGCAGCGTTCGCCATCATCGGAGGGTACTCTACTTATAAATTCATGGTTAATAGACGATAGAGGTGGATAATGTTATCCGGATAGCATAATGGAATCTACTCTGGTGTACAAGCTTTAACGCGACGGGACAGGTACGAAAACATAAGACGATAATAAATACATGTGCGCCAATGAAGAACAAAGAAAACACGGAATAACAGCGTGCCCAACTCATCCACTCGACGTGCGTGGCGCCATCAGAACGTGGTTTTGAAACGAATGCGCACGAGGGGAGTTCTGCAGCGAAGCGGGGATCACGATCTTTGCCAGCGAAGGCGATAGTCTTTGCGGCGAGTCTTGCGTCGAGGAGTTCCGGCGTTTCAACTCGGGAGGGGGCGGAGTAAAGTTGCCGTAGTTGCCGTTTCTGTCGGGCGAAGAGGGCTCTGGTGGGGCGCGCCTCTTGGGGTAGATGGGGACGGGTTCCTGGAATGTGTGGAGCTCCTCCAGCTTGCGCTTCTTCGACGTCGCGCTGCTGGGTGGCGACTCCGGAGGACCACCCCACCGGGACCAAGGTGGAGGGGGCGGGGGCGCAATCGCAGAAGACGAGGACGAGGATGAGGTCGACGGGACGTTTTCTGGCGCAGGCCCCATTTGTACATCGGCGGGCCCCGATCGTGTGTGTGGATGACGATAAGGTTGTGGTTTGAAAACTGAGCGAGACGGGGTTTGGGCGGGTCGACTGCTGCTGGAAGAAGACGAGCTGCTCTCCGAAGTCGAAACCTTGACGATCTCGATGAACAATGTCTTGGTGAACGGCGGGCCCAAGGTCTTGTAGATGAGCTCTTTGGTTCCCTTGTCCATCATCAGTCTTGCGTCAACGTACTGATCGTTGGACTTTCGCAGATCAGCTAGAGAGCACATTCAGACCTCGGTCAATAGAAAGAGAAAGCGAATACGCACGAGGAGCCCTGATTCGAACTTCGGCATACGGATATGTGAGGTTCTTCCGAGTGACGCATATCGGGCACGCAAATCGAGCGTCCTTGTCCCCGGCCTCAATGGGAAAGAATACGCAACCTGCGTGGTATTTCCTTTTGCAGGTTTCGCAGGTGACAGGTGGGTAGCCAATGAGGTAGGGCGTACGGCCTCGGCAGATGCACCGTGTACCGTCCTTCCAGTCTGGATCGATATCTTGGCCGAAAGTAAAGCGGAGTTTGCGTTTCTTCTTTGCAAGGATGAGCTCCTTCTCTTTACGCCGCGCCGCCATCTTTTGAGCGTGCCTCTCGTTGACCGGACCTTTGCGCAGGGCAAGAATACGATGCAGCCCAGCGAGATCCAGCCCAAAAGATACGTCAGGAGTGGGCGCAACGGCGAACTGTATCTTGTATAGTTTGCGCATGTAATGGCGCACTTGCTGAAGATACTCCGGTCGCTGGTTTTCGGGCACGGTTGTGAAAGTCAAGAACTGGCCAACGACAGCAGAAAGCCGATCTATTCGATGGACGACCACCTCCAGCTGCTTCCACTCCTCGGAGTAGTTCTTCGAGATCTCGGGCGCGGCAATCAGGATGGCGGGAAGGTAGCAGAAGTGCCAGCTGCGTTCCTTGTGAAGGGAACCATTCCAATGATGATGATCGCAGAACGGGCAAGAACCCCCGTTGTTTGCGCAATCGCCGTGGAAGCGGGCATAGCAGTGGTCGCATTGCACCGCGTCAGACTGGACGCCGGGCGGAGGAGGACGGACGGCAAGGTTACATATGCAAGTGAAGTACTCATCCGTAGGCGGCAGGTCGTCTTCGGGGCGCGTGCATTCGATCACGTCGTCGACAACCGCTTTGCCTTCGGCCACCTCGTGTTCAGGACAGTACCAAGGCAGCCCCTTCACCCACTGCTGGTGGGCATAGAGCTGGGCGTCGAGCTTCTCGAAAGACGGAAGAGTGAACATCCGGAGGTGGTTCTGGGCGTAGACCTTCCACTGGCTCATGGTCCCGAACATGTCCTCCTCTCCACGATACCGGTTCTTCAACACCTGGTCGCAGCGCGTTTCCAGATCCTGCGCGATAACGGCGGTCTTGTGGATGTCCTGAACGGCCCCTACCTTGTAGTCCCGCTCGGCGCGATTGACAAGCCGCAACACCTCGTGGACCTTTGGTTTGGGCGCATCTGGCTCGGGGCGCATCCAAGCTTGCGCTTGTCGCTCGAAGTCCTTGGCCTTCGCGAGCGCGACCATGAGACGATCATAAACAGCGGCGTCGATCGGAATGTCCTGATCCATCTTGGCGAACTCGTTCAACTCCTCAATGGTCTTCACGG